GAGTTACAGCATCCTCCCCACACTTCTTGTCACTCTCTCTCATATCAGATATCAGATATGATTGCAAGCTAATCACTGTCATGCTTGGCTTACGATTTCCCGGTAGCTGTGGCCCATCTGCGTATCCAACAGTTCGTCTATGATGCTATCCAGCCAGAAAGTTGTCGGCCTGCCTCTCCTTCTTTTGATATCTATGATGGATAGAATAAAGGTGTTTCACAGCCGTTTGTCGTCCCGTCGCAGTGCCAGGCAAAGATGCGAGAGTTTTAGTTTCGTATATTTGCCAGAGGGAGGGTTAATATATTATTGCCTGCCCGGCGGACTCCATTTGTACTCGTTCTAACGTCATCAGCAATTGCGCATTCGTTATCTTATCAATCAATCAATCGATCAATCAATAGCCGAGCATTCTGCGCCCGCAAGAGCGTCGAAATACGTCCAGTAAATTCGCTTCCTTCTTGGTATAAGCCCATGTTGTTGTAGCATACATCAGTACCTGTCGAATAACTGTAAGGAACAGGCGGATTTTCACTGACGCACTGACAGCAGTCCTCCACAGATTTTGCTGCAGCATGTTATGTGTGAAAGATTTACGCGCGTGATTTGTGCTTCAGACTGAGAAGTCATAACTGCGACGGTTTGGACATATGCTACAATTGTCTCCAGAAAGGAAGCAAATATTTTTTGTCCACCTGATTGGCAGAAGGCCCAGAGGACGACCAAGATTAACCTGGTGCAAATATACTGAAGGAGTCTTATTTTGACTCCAGCTATCTCCTGCCGAAGCTTAAACTATGGCACAGGATCGGGAACGTGGGAAGCACTGTCTGACGCGACTGCCCTAAAGGAGAAGCGGTTCTAGATGATGGAGATGAAGATGTGATATGTGATTCTCGCCTTTCTCATTCTTCCCTGTATATCAGCTTCACAGTTTTCCTCACTAGTGATTATCGATCCAAGATAGCAGAACTTGGTGCCGTACCGCACGCACATCTTCCCCGTAAATTTTCATGATGTTGACATTTGCTGCGGCATACCATGATACAAGGCATTTCGATGGCCTCAGTCTCAGTCCGTACTTGGAGCTGGCTGTTTCTATTGTCGTCAACGCCTTGTGTAGTTCTTCCCGGTTCACTGCAATGACCGCAATGTCACAGCATAATCCTCATCTTATAACTGACATCCTGATGGTTGAAGTATCACTTTGCCATCAAAGTTTGAAACCGCTTCTGTCATCATGCCATCCAGACAGCAGTTTTAACGGCACCATTGCGGTAACTGACCCCTGCCGTTCTGCGCTATCATTCGGAAAGATGTCTGAGACCGCAGCACGTATTCGTCCTGCGGCCGTTGTGCTGGTATATGTTTTTCAAGATGTTAGTCAATTTGCCTCACATACCGTTGTTTCTTAACAACTCGACAGAGTTTCTCGATCTGAGCCGGAGGGACTACGTCGTGTGAGTCCGAAGAAGTGTCCTTTCTCACACAAATTTGGTGTCCTTCATTTACTAACTCTCTTCGTGTATTCATTCATCGCCATCGAGGGCAGCACCTCTAGAAACCACTGCTTCGGCGGCGAGGCTATAAAAACTGACTGCTTTGTGTTCTGTTGCAAGGAACACTATTATAGGCAAAATAATTCCTTATAGAAACTTTCTTTAATCAACCTAATGGCGCATCGCCGCTTTTTGTTCGCGTTTTTATGGTAGTGACTTATTCTTCTGTTTTATATTTCATCAGGTACCTGTAATTTTTATGCTAATTTAGATTTTGTGAGGCAAAGTTTCATTTTTTGGTTCCTTCTGAATACTTCTAATTGTAACTAAGGAATGATAGTCTTATACGCTGATATTCTCCCTCTCCAACTACTGTGTCAGTACATACCGGCAGATACGACCTCTGGTTTCTCATATGCAGACTTTCATTACGGAAGACGTATCTGCTGTCGAAAACCTTCTTTGGTATTCTAGTATCCACCATATATTATTTAGTATGGAATAGTAATGTCAAAAATTTCACACCAATATGGAAATATACGACCAGCTTGGAACGGGTACCAAACTGATTGCCTCGAACACTGAAATAAAGCGTTGATTAAGTTGGATGAAGATGAAAAGTAAGATGAAAGTCTTACTCTAGGAAGTACCTCATTATTGCACTACCTCCTTGATTCTAGTAGCTTAGAGGACCATTTAAGCAGGCCGAAAGCTCCACTCGTGGAGTCTACTCGAAAACATCGAGGTTATGTTTCGCCTGCGGATCGTCGCATTTGGGTCCGACCATTTCTTTGTTCATCCTGATTAAAAGGCGTATCGTATGCACTGCAAACGCTTAAATACCATGGAGCCGTGGCTTGCTTAAATGGTCCCCCTAGGCTACTAGAAGCCATTGGGCGATGCAATATTGCGATAGTGCCTATTGTAAAATTTTCATCTCTTTTATACCATAATAGCATCGGTGTAAAGAAAGATATAAATATTTCTTTGTTTACATTGCATGTTGTCGCAGTTTCATATCGTTACCGATACATTTTAAATATGTAGAAATTCATGCTTGTGCTCGTCGACAACGATTGAAATGAACGAGGGTGCACATTTATCAATCTGATAACTAATAGTTAAGCAAGGTGGAGCCGTAAATGGCATGATAATGGCAGACTTTAACAAAGGTTCAGTATGATTGTGTTTGAGGAACGGCTTTCAATTCCGCGTGCAGACATGATACAGACGAAGCGGTATCTGGCATCGATGAGATCCGGGGAGCGGAAGAGGGAGAAACACCAATCTTTCATAACGAAACGACAATACGAAGTAGGGAAACCGTGTCATCGCCAGACCGTTGGAGCAGATCAGCAGATGAGGTTGGACTAAAGACTCGTTCAGCTCCAGTCACGTTCAAGACAACGCTGACATCAGTGACTCTAAGACCAGCTCTGAATATCATATCAATATCAGCATACGACTGATTCAGAATTCGTGCATTTTTTTCTTACCTCAGAAGGTATAAAAAAAGTCTTGTAAGCCGAGTGGTGACGTACTAACCCTGTAGACAGTAGTGGCAGTGGCAGTGCAGGGAAGCAACCCGACTTTCCTGGGAATCTACTTGTTGAAGAATACTACATGAAAGACAACTTGACGGTTTGCGCTAGAAGTAGGGAATTTTTTTCATGCTAAGACAACAGACGCACAAAAACTGCCTTCATAGAAAACACTAGTGTGTTTTCTCTCTTTTCCCACCGTCGCTGAAGTTTCTTATGGATGGCTCCTTCACTAACGTTTAATGTATGTCGGCTTGTCATTAGACTTGTAGCCGAAACATTACTTTTGCCCCGGCTCGCTGGCAATCTCTGTGACGCCTGTCATACATCAAATTGAACAGAACGAGTTAGAGTTTGCTTAAGATGTTCATTTTGGAATGGGCCGAGTTGGCTCTACTGCTCACTTGTCCAAAGAGATGAATTCGTTTCCTCTTCGCATCTTCAGTATGGAGGCAAGAGAAGAGGTTTGCGCTTTTTCATTCAAATTTCATGCTTGCAGCTCGAGTGAAAACAACTTTCCATAACCGAGAATATGATTACTGCTTTCACCTGTCCCCAAGGTATATTTCAGCCAGAACAAGCATCATTAATAGAAACAGCTTTACTGGTAAAGTTTTATTTTGACTTATTTGACAACAATAACAAGATTATCTACCATCCTTTAGTGTTGTGTTCAAGTAAACCTCCCCAACTGAGGCGAACCAGAAGAAATGAGGGCCGCTAGATTTCGTCCTTTGTTTTCACCAAACAGGAAAATTAGAGTTTCATTGATGGTCTCCACTTGAGGAGCAACATGTGAAACCGATTGCTGAAATTATTAAGGCCATCGGCTGAATAGCTTTTCAATGATTTTCAGGTTCTTTTATACGCTGTCTGCTTGTCCCGTCAGCGGTTTCACAACTTTGACTAATAAATGACTTAAAATACAAGCGGCGGACATCACCAGTGAATTCTATGTTGACTTCGGATTCGAATAGTCGAGGGTATTGATGCCTGATGTGGTAGCTCAGAGTTCCTTATGCTTTCAACGACAGAAATATGCTGATAGCTCTGAATTAGCTCATCAACTGAATAGAAATGATAATAGATAATAGTGAACTATGTACCAATGATAGATTTGAACTCGCTACTACAGGACTACTCCTTTGCGTTGGTGACCTGTAATAAGAAATTCCTATTCCTATGATTGACAACGGCATTGTACTTCACTCACAGAGAGCGTTGCATTGATATGTAAAATGGGGGGTTAAATCAGATTATGCAAATGACCGACCACCGCCCAATTATTCAGATTCTAAGTGGTGACCGCAGCATCGATCGTTGACAGTAACCAGCCCTCTGTGCCCAAACACCGTTCCAGCAAGTCCCATTCCATATGAATTAGTCTGCTATATGGTACACACGGCACTGAACGGTGAAAAGTAGATACGTTCTCTCTACTGTAACAGCAGATATGACTTGACTTGACAACAAACACGAGAACGAAAAATATTTACCACTGTCTGTATCAATAGCCAAATGATGCATATGAAATTTTTACCGTATGGTGACTACTCATGAACAGGGTCACCAAATAATCTGGTAAAACTGATGTGTAATGAATGATATCTTATGATTGGGACTCAAACTCTGGGAAATTCACCCGAATAATAATTTTGCCTGAATATTTATGTGATATAGTAATTGAACAGAAGGTAGCATTCGTTATACTTGTTACTAGAACTTCTGCAACCTTGCTTGGTGTAAACCAAAGAAGCCAACAACGTTGCTTAATTCAGTAAAATGGTAAGGTGATTTCAAGTATGGAATTGGACTACTCGCTCTCTCTGTCCCCAGGAGGCAGAAAGTTAAAGATGATTTCGATTTTTAATTACGAATCCCATTATCTGCATTTTCTAGTGCCAATGAGATCAGAATGTGATTGTTACTAAAGGTGAAAGAAAGGTTGAATGAGCGGCGTGTCGTTTTTGGACACATGGTACGTTTTGTTAGCCAACCTGAAAACATTTTAACTGC